TCGTTTACAAATTTCCACATCGTGTTTAAAATTCTCGTCTTGAGGCCGATTCGTTTATCAAAATGAATATATGGTTCTAATCGATTTACAATCCTACTGGTTCTGAAAACAAATTCGTTTCTCGCTTTTTCCGTTCTCACTTTTCGCATCTCAAAAATTTCTATATTTCTAGCCCGTGTGGTTCGCCTGTTTAACACTATTTCATTTCGTTCATTAGAATCAAGACTGGCAAGAAGTAAGATGTTATTTAGCTGGATGAACATGGGCAGGGGTAAAATGTTTAGCAAGCGTAGTTCGTTGATGTACACTCCCGTTTTATTTCCAGTGATCCACCGGATTGCTTTCTTTTGAAATCGCTCCAACTGCAATTGATCCCCCCTCGATATATGTGTACATGAGAGTCCGTATAATAACACTGGGAGTATTAGTGACTTATACAGGCCTAACTTTACAAACGTATTTATCTTTGCTGATAGGTTTCTTCTCAGGAGGTACAGTACTTGGTTTGCCTTCTTTAATCTTGTTTCAATGTGTACCTTCCAACTTAAATCGCCCGACACAAAAATTCCCAGATCTTTCACAACCATCGATGTTCCAAGCACTACACCAAAAAGCATAGAGTTGGCGTCTCCGCCCCTAAAACTTACTTTTGCACATTTATCTAGTGCTAATTCCATTTTGTTTTCAGTTACCCACTGCTGAATTTTGTCCAGATCTTCTTGAATTTCAATTGATGTTTTTTTGATGGAAAGTAGTTTAAGATCATCCGCAAAAATATATGGTTCAGAGAATTTGAGTACTTCAGGTAGGTCGTTAATAAAAATGCAAAAGAGCAGTGGTCCTAAAAGTGATCCTTGGGGAACACCACTAGTGACTTCTAAAACTTTTGAGCTGATATTGTCTACTCGTACAAACTGTTTCCTGTTTTTCAAATAGTCATAGAGTACCTCTAACATGCAGCCTCCTATTCCTATAAGTGCAACTTTCTTGAGTAGATCAAAATGCGGAACTTTATCAAAGGCTTTTGCAAAGTCAGTGTAGACTGCTACAATTTCTGCGTTTGAGTCATTGTCAAGCGCTTCATATATTTCTTTCAGGAAGGAGAGCATGTTTGTCAAAACTGATCTACCTTTAGTAAAACCGTGTTGATGTTTCGTCAAATACCAGGCAAAGTAAGGGTACAGGTCTTTGTATATACATTTTTCAAGGACTTTGCTGTCAATATTTAATAGCGATACTGGTCGATAGTTGTTCACCAATTTTCGGTCACCTTTTTTGTGAACAGGAGTAACTGCAGCTGTTTTCCATGAATCAGGTATTTTTCGTAGGCGTTTTACGTTTCTCAAAATTTTGTTCATCGGTTTGCATATATTGCGGTTCGTTTTCTGAAAAAAGCTAGGTGGCAACCCATTTGGGCCGCGTGACTTTGTTACGTCCAGAGTTGATAAAATCTCACTTACTGTCTTTTTCGATATATCAAAATTCGTTAACAAGGGATTTCCAAATTGAATATCTCTAATACTAAAACTTTCTTTAGGATTAAAAACTGAATGAAAGAAGTCGTTTAGCATGTTGACTTGTTCGTTTGGATTTGTGCTTTCAACTTCATCTTTTATGAGTAACTTAGGAAGACTTGTATGTTTATTCAAGTTCTTTAGGTGTTTAAAAATTACATTAGTGTTCCGTGTTCTAAACAATTCCTCTTGGTAGTTTTTCCTGTCCACTTCCGATGATTCAGTTACTAAATTTTCAAACAGTTTAACTTGTTGTCTTCTGTAGTTGGTCGGTTTGAGTATACATGATTGCCGTTTTGTTTGTAACTTTTTGATCAAATTTGAAGTGCTACTTGTTATCCAAGGTGGAAGTGATTGCCTATGTCTTGTTCTGAGAGGCACAAAACTCTTAATGATTTCATCCAAATATTGGGTGTACTCCTCATGCATTTTGTTAATGTTTGTGTGGCATACTGGTTCAAATGGGTTCTCGTTTATAAAATTGTTTATTCCTTCAAAATCGGCATTTCCAAAACTTCTAAAATTTTCCAAGTATGGTTTCGGCTCTGATACCGTGCATTCAATAGACAACATTATGGCATTGTGATCTGAGCAGTCATAAATCTTGGAAACGTTAAAATCTTGTTCGGCACTTGTATAGCAATTCCGATAGAAGGCTACGTCTAGTATGTTCTTCACACATGTTGGGAAATCTATCGCCTGCCTAAAGAGTCCATTTTCAAAAATTTGCAGTATTTGGTTTTCTTCCTCGTCAGTACTGGTGAGGGTGTTCCAGTTTGTTTCTGGGAAATTTAAATCCCCACATAAGAGAAACGGTTTGTTTTTAGGAATGGCTTTGATCAGTTGTTCAAATTCATGCACTTTGTATCTGTAATTACTGTTTTTTGGCGGATTGTAGAATGAGCCAATTATCATTTCAGTTTGATGAAGTTTTATACTACATAGCACACATGAATCAGGAATGTCATGTTTGGTGGATAAGTCCTCGGTAATTAGACTATTCTTGACAGCTATTAGGCTGCCTCCGTGACAGTTTTTACCACTCACAATAGCTCTATCAGATCTATAGATGTTATATTCACTTAGAAAAAGCTCTGATGATTGAATATTCTCGTTAAGCCAAGTTTCGCTTAAGCATATGACATTAAAATTTCCAACTGCAATTGCATTTGCTAGCTTAGTTCTTCTCTCTATGTTGATTAGGCTTCTAGTATTTAGTTGCAGAATGTTGAGGAATCCTAGTCAATGCTGGGGTTCCTGAACTTCAGTGTCAATAGTTACTTTCACACCATCATTGAACAATTCTAGATTCCTTATTTTCAGCTTTTCGCGAGGAACGCCTTCATCTAGTAGTTGTCTTCGTTTCTTAAGGATTTCGTTCTCTTTAATTGCACTCTCTTTGGTCAATGCTGGTAGCAGGTAGACCTCTTTTTCGACCAATTGTTCTCGCTTTTCTCGGCTTTTTGCTAGTACTAGTCGTGCTTCATGTTCGCTAGGTACAGTTACCAGCAGTGTTCTTGGCTTCATTCGATTACGATCAAATTTTCCCAGTCGTTTTAGTTCTATTATTTTCGGCTTCACTCCAATTATGTCTAGTATTTCGTTTACTTCGTCATTTGTTGGGACAAGGTTTTCTCCTTTTGTTTTCTCAGGGTCCTCTTTGACCCCTTGTATCCTAAAACTTTGATTTATGTTGTGATCAGAGTTAGATCTGGCAGCATGTTGAGTGGTTTGAGCTTGATTTATCCGGGTGGTGGTTTCAGCAGCTACAACGGCACTATAAGTTTTTTCCACTTTATCGCATGTCGTTTTCATTGCATTTCCAATTTTTTGATCTACTAAATCGGTAAGTCTTCTTTCCATGCTTTTAAGGCTTTCAGTTACATCAATGTTTGAGAGCTTCTCGTCTATGTTGGCCAGGGTTTTGCATCTTATAAAGTTGTCTCGTTCATTATTTTGCACACAAGTATTACAAAGCAACATGACATTCGGCCCTAGTTCTTTTATTCCATTTATGGCCACTAGAGACAACCCAACACAAGTTGGTTCCAAATGCATTTGAGCGTTGCATGCGACACAAGTGTATGTTTTCTCGTTGCTGGCAAAGCCTCTTTTACATGTTTTGCAGTTTTTGCCCATTTTTGCTTATACTATGGATAGAAAAACAGTTAAGCCTGGTGGTTCCCGAAAAGGGGAGGCCTGTGGCTCACTCAGGGGAAAAGAAGAAATAGACAAACCTGGTGGTTCCCGAAAAGGGGAGGCCTGCGGTTCACTATTTCTACTTACGTTAATAGGGGCACTGACAGTTCTTGAAACGACACTCGTAATATACCAGATGTCCTTCTGTATTGCAGATGTTCGAATGTTTATCGTATAAGATTTTATTCTTGAGAATACTTTTAATGCCCTTCAGACCTTCTTCACTGAGGTGCACTTCGTCAGTTTTCAAATGATATGAGCTGTGGATTTTTTCACTCACTCCTCTAAACTTCCAAGTTCCTTTTATCTTTCTTAGGAATTCGTTTATTTTTGCAGATCGAGCTCGGTTCTCACTACGATGAGGGATTCCGATGACGAAAACTTTTTTGGCTCGTTCACACAGCTCCTCGGCTAGCTTCGACAGTTCTTCAGCAATGTCGCCTGCAGGTATACTGGAGGGGTCTTTTCCGTTGAAGGCGTCGTTTCCGCCGATGAGCAGAGCGATGATGTTGAATTTGTCTTTCTCGGGTAAGAAGTTTTGGACCGCACCAATTCGGGCCCCAGGTAGGGACAAGATATTGAAATTTGGAAAATCAAGATGGCGTGCTTGAGAATCCGCAATCAGGAGATTTTTTGAAGATGATGTCTTGAGCAAGTGATATCTTCTGTCGGACAATTTCATCGCGGGGCAACCATTGCTACCCCGGTAAACATTTCAACTATCTGAAACTATTATCACGGAGTAATTGGATTTGTCATATATTTTGCGTTTGATTGGTCTTACATTGTTGTTCAGCTTAAGTTCTGTAATGAATGCTGTTGCTTGGTGGTCGGTCTTAATTGGTGGTGTGAATACTATTGAATTATTTGTTAGATCTTTTATGCCTAGGTCGGTGATAATATAGTCAATTAGTGCTATTGAGTGAGTAGGTGTTAATTTGTTAGTGACGTCCAGATTATATGGTATTAGGATTGTATCTAAAGACTGTTTGTCGTCTTCGTTGAGATAGTTGAAATTGTAATCTCCTAGTAAAATTAGCTTGATAAAATTGTTCGTTTTTGAAGAAGCCTTTCTGCTGGTATAACAGTTAAAAATCCAATTTTTCAGCTTTTCTTGGACTTTAAATTAAACATAAATTGTTCAAGTTACTCCTTTATGTGCCATATTTTTGCACTTAGTCCATTTTTAATTGACGTGTTTTGTTGAAAGTTATATGTGTCATTATTGTTATCGCAATTCGTGCGAAACTCTGCTTCGCCTCTGTGTGAAACGTTTTCGTAAGTTTCAGGTTGAAATATGGTAAGGAAGAAAATAGATAATAGAATAAGAGTAGCGATCGAAAACAATGTCCTTTTTGGGCACAGGTCCTTATTTGTTATAGTCGGAGAAAAAGCTAAAGACCAGGTAAATGTTTGAAAAAATAGCAATTTGAATAATTGAGTTGAAAATTACTGCAATTAGTTATCATTGTTGAAGGTCGTTATTTTACACCACATGCTGTCAAAAGCGACAATCAAAGCTCGACCATCGGTACTGTGGTGCTACAAGAAAGATCTGGCTTTCACAAACAACAGGAAGAAAAAATTGAAAAAGCAAATGCAAAAACGAATGTCTTTGGGGGCATCTGCTGCCAATGACGTGAGCGAAGAAGATACATTTGCGTTTTTCCTGGCTAGCACAAACATTCGATATTGCTTTTACAATGAAACACAGAAAATTCTGGGAAACACATTTGGAATGTGCGTCCTGCAGGTAAAATATTTCCCGAAAATTCCTATTCTACTCTGATAGATATGTCCCTATCCGATTCTGGAACATCCTATCTTTTTAACGGTTTCGTTGGTGGTTTGCGATTTGGACGATTCTCATCTTTTTGTCGCAGTTGTGCTGTTTGAAGACTTTTCTCCTTCTTGTCTTCAACGAAACCCTTTCCTACAGAGTATTATAGATCTTTATTCAGTTCGGGGTTAGTATCGCTTGCTTTTTTCACCACTCTTTATATGTCATTTTTTGCTGCGTCTCTCAGCTCCAAGAGCTATTAAGGGTTTGTCTCGTGTAAGTTTTTTTATACCTTAACTCGTTCTTTGTCTCTGAATGAGATGTGCTGCTTAAACAGTGGTTTTATGTCCCGACTGACCCTTTTTTAACGAATTTGACAGTTTCTCGTGATTGTTCAATCCTCATTTTGAGCTGTTAGGTGGTTTTTACAGAGCGTTCCAGATGTGCATGAAGTAAACAGTCAGGGTTATTACCCTTGCGATAAGCAAGGGTATTTCAATCGGGTACTGGACTTTTTTCCCGTAAACAACTTTGTCCACAGGACTAATGTGGACTCGGTACCTTGGTTCATAATGAATTCAAATATCTCAAGTGTCCCCTGCACACTTAGCTTGGAGGTAACGAATACGCCTGGGACGCCAAAGGTGTCGAGATCGAATCTGACTAGGACTTGTTTTTTTTAACGGTAAATATTTCGGTTCAAAAAATAGGACTATTATTTGTCTGGTTATGTTTCGTCGGCTTAGTTGCCAGATCTAGAATAGTTTTTTTTGCTGTAAACAATTGTCACTGTAATTGGTTTAAGCGTTTTAGCATTTTCAAAATCCGGAGGAATCGAAATTTGTGTTTAATGCTGGTTGTAATTTTACCAACTGGATTTGTCATTTTTTCTTTTTATCGGGTTAATAAGTTTCGGCTTAATTAATATCGACCTAGTGGCCACTTATTCAGTCGTTTGGGGATCGAAAAAAGTTTGTGTGCGTGCGTGTGCTCTGATCTGATTAGGGACATAAATTTTTTTTGAATTAGTTTAGATTTTTTTTTGGCATGAAAGGTTTCTGATCAGAGATTTTCAGCTTTATTACCACATGGAAATTATAATTTCAAATTCAATCAACCAACCAGCGCATCTGGCGTAGAAGTGACACAACTGCTTGAGACCGCTTTTTTTTAACGAGTTTTTGAATTTTTTTAAATTTTTTTTTCAAATTTGTATCGCAAGTGATGCGAAGCTCAGCTTCGCCTCTGTGTTTATGAGCTTAACTCTCATTATTGTCAATTCTTTCTTGTCGAGCTTCCTAAATGTGCTTCAAATGGTGATTTTTGTAGTTTTTTCTATTTGGGATTCCTGATTATTGCGCCAACATATTGATTGATCTTGCGTTTTCTGCGGTCTCAATGTATCAGTTGAATGCGCAGCTATAGGAATAGCGTTGATTCATTGATTATGTTTTCAATAGTTTTGGCTTTAAATTGGTCTAGCTTTTAGGTATAACCCTGTCCTCTGAATTGTTTGTCCTAATCATTTTTTTGAGTTTTGAAAAACTCCCAGTTCGAAAACAAATAATACGTTAATCGATTTTAAGCTCCTTTTCTGACACCCTTCCAATACACCCTCCTTTTTTGATGTCACAATTTTTTAAAACTATCTAGCACATCACACAATTTTGGTACTAGGTCGATTTTATTTACTTGTTTTTTTTTTCACCGTGATGATAAAAGGCACATTGAAACAATCACGTGTACATTTATTAGTTTTGTTATTTTTCACCGTTCAAAGCTTATCCGCCCTTGACTTAGTCTTGCACTTCGATATTCTCCTCCCTTTTTAAAGGGTGGGTTAAAATTGGTACTTAATTTTGCAACTTACAAATTGATTTTTTGATTCTTTTTGACTATCAAGTAGATCTCCAGATTGTTTCAAACTCTATTTCGCCACGTTCATGTTTTTTCAACGTATTATTTTTGCATGTTCAACGAAAGGATTTTTTCATGTTTAAGCTATATCGTATTTTGCAATGGTTAAGAAGTTTTTCCGATTTTTCAGTTTGAATTCATTGTTTGTTTCACTTTTTAAAATTGGATGTTGTCAGGGTTCTCCCAGGGGTTGCAAATATGGCCCCCAAATATGACTGCTCAAATCCTTGAGGTTTTCGAAATATGACGTGTTTTATGATTTTTGAAATTGCCAAGCTTGTAGTTGGGTACTGTGAGGGTACTCTCAGGAGTTCCAAAAAGGAAATCTTGCGTCCAAATGCGACTGCTCAAATACTCATAGTTTCCAAGACGTTACTTTTTTCTAAATGGTCAAAGCACTTAGATATAAAAATGTCACAAAATTTGACGTTCTCATTTTTGTAGTGAGGGTCTGGTGGGTACTTCTAAGAGTTGCGAATTTTACCTCCAAATATGACTTCTCAAATCTTTGCAGTTTTCGTGATGACGTTTTTTGTGATTTTTTCAAAAAAATTTCGGAAAACTTATTTTTTTTTTCAATTTAAAATTCCCATTCCTGTAGCTGGGGGTTGTCAGCGTACGAATCTTCACCCAAATATGGCTGCTCATATCTTTGTAGTTTTCCAGATAAGACACTTCAGAAAACTTGTTTTATTATTATTTTTTAAATTTGAAATTCCTAACTCTGTAGTTGGGGGCTGGCAGACTACTCTCAGGGGTTGAGAATTTTGCATCCAAAAGTGACTGCACAAATCTTGGTAGTTATCGAAATATGACCTCTTTCATGGTTTTTCAAAAGAAAATAGAAAACTTAGTATGTAGTTGGCTACTGTAGTACTCTCAGCAGTTGCAAATTGTGCGTCTAAATGCGACTGCTCAATTGCATTATGTTTTCGAGATGTGACGTTTCTTAATTTTTGTAACTGCTCAAAGAACTTTGATTTAAAAAAAATTGATTTTTCAAAATTTGAATAAAAAAAAATTGAACAAAAAACCTTAAAAAATTTGAAATCATGAATTCTGTAATTGGGTACTGTTAGAGTACACTCAAAGGATGCAGATCTTATTTCCACTATATGCGGCTTTATAGTAGTTGAAAATTCGAAGCACTGGAGGTGCGTTACACGCTAGTTAACTTTATTTTTCATTTTTTTTTCACTGCTCGAAAAGTAGCACTTCAAACCACGATTTTTCTCTTGGGGCAGTCATCTGAATTGTTGAGATGTCTATGCGCCCCTTAAAGTCCAGTGCCAGAATGCTTCTTGTTCGACTTTCCGTGTCCATCTGATCTTAAATCTGTTTTCAGTGCTCCTAGAATCATAATTGGTTAAATAACTGTGCAGGTGGATTGAGTTGTTTGCCGATATAAAATTTGGTGCGTTAAACCTGCATCACTGTTACCCAATTGAGAATAATTTAGACTTACCGTGTGCAGCTTAATGTGGATAATCCGATTATCTATACGCACTATGGCTTTCATCGACTTCATCTCATTCGATTTTTTCACGCCACGACTTCTGTTTTGAGGACTCATGCAATTTTTTTTGCAGATTGCAGATTTTTTTTGTGATGTGACGGTTTTTCCAACACCCTTCCGAAAATCCTCTGCCACATCTTTTCCAAGGCTCATGATTACTACATTTAGTCATGTTCTTGAATCTAGAGTTTGTTATTCGTTTTTTTTCTTCAACCGTCTGTTATGATTCTGGTACCTGTTTGCCATGCGGGATCTTCCTTTATTTTTACTGTTGTTTTTATCGTTGATGTTGCTCATCCATTGCTACTCGAGTTCGTCTTTTAGTAAGCTAGCGTAATTTGTTTACTCAGATTAATTTTAATAGTTTTTTTTCGATACTTCAGAGCTTCATAAGGGTATCCTGGATTATAAGGGTACCCTGGAAAGTTACATTACGCATTGTAGATATTAATAGATCTCTTACTAATTGATCTCCACTTTCCCTTACTCTGATCTAGCTGTTTGTGCAGCCGACACAGAGTGAAATGTTTTCAGTGTTTTGTTAGATTCGTGCGCTCGGTTGAACAATTTGTACCGCTCGTACGTTACGCTTTAAGTTTTTTCAAACTCGTCTATAGTCCTTTGTATCGTTTCCTTGATTGACCAATCACTATTATTTAGGACTTTGAAGCACTGACTCCGAATCTGCTGGCGCGTACAGTGGAAACGGTGGAGGGAGGGGGACTGGTGGTGCTGGTGTTGCAGGAGGTCACTGCCCTAAACCAGCTGTGCACACTGAACATGGATGTGCATGCCAGATACAGGACAGAGGCTCACTCGCAGATCGTGTGCAGATTCAACGAGCGGTAAAATATTTTTTATAGTTAAATGAATGATTTTTCAACTTTAAGCGTCAATGTTCAAAATCTGCAACTCTATTGTTTTCGGTAATTAAGTTTTTCAAGAATTTTTATGGTGCAATTTGTTTTGCGAATTTCTGGGTCAAAATCTTAAAATAATTGGGTCATTTTTGCTTGTTTTAGTCAATTTACGCTAAATTTAATGAGTCATTTGATGAGCCAGCTATATCAAAATCAGTCTCTTGTGCAGCCCAACAAAATTTTGGAAGTTTATAACCTCCAGAAATCTGTACAAATCACCAGCGGATTTTGGGGAGACATAGGGTCTGTACAGTGATTACATAGTCTTTACTGTGAGAGCTCGGAAAATCAATTTGGTCGACCTAAAAAATTGTCGATTAAAGTTTCGAAAATGTCGATAAAGTTTCAACCAGAATCATAACAAAATGTCGATAAAGTTTCTTCGCTTGAAAACAAATCTTAAACGTTTTGCGGAAATTGTTGGAGGTTATATCCTTCTAAAACTTTGTTGAGCTGTATAAGCGATTCACTTTGTTTGCTCACCATTGGAGTGTTTTGATTTAGCGTAAATTTTAATTGACTGAAAGAAGCTAAAATGACTCATTTGTGGGGTGAAATTTTGGCCCAGAAATTTGTAAAATATATTAAATCATAATATTTTAGGTTAGAAATCTAAGTATTTTAAGTTCTCATCATTCTTTGTCTTTTCTCAACCCATTTTGAGAAAAACGCTTTTTTATATTTCAAGTTTTTTTTTTTTCATTTTATTCCGGATTTTTTAAAACAGCACTGTTTAATATGATGTTTACCCTTGCGATAAGCAAGGGTATTGCAATCGGGTGCGAGACTTTTTCCCGTAAAAACTTCAGGCACATGACCTTCTCTTTTCATATGGACTAATTTCCCGGAAAGCCTCTGTTAGCAACATATTTAACGCTACAAATTAAATTTTTCTGCATGTTAGTTAGCATTTCAAATATCTGTCGTATACGAATTTATCTTTTTATTTTGATTTTAATTTTACCTACTCGATTTGTTAAAATTTCATTTTTTGTTCTTTTTTTCGGCTTGTTAGGTTTCAGCGTATATCATATTAGCTAAGTGGCCTCATATCGCGTTATATCGTTCGACGAGCGATTGTTTTGTGTATGTATGTGCTTTGAGGGCGAGTGGGACTTGATAACTTTCATTTTCTTGTTTTCCGACTTATTTGGATTCGGCCTAGATTTCATCGGCATAGTGGCCTCATTTTGCGACGTTCGACGAGCGAAAAACTTGTTTTTGTGTGTGTGTGTGTGTGATTTTAGGGCGAGGGTACATGATACGTTTTTTGATTTCTTTTCGGCATAAAGGGTTTCTGCTAAGGTATTTTCGGCTTTCTACCGCTTGATTAATTTTCTTTTGATGCTAGTTTTATCTTCTATTGTCTAGGCAGATTTTTGTTTCAAAACTAGGCTAATTCATTCCGATAGATTTAGTTTTTTCGGCATTTTCGATTTTTTTTGACATAGCCGCTTCCTTCTTTTGTATCGCAAGTGGTTCGAAGCTCAGCATCGCCGCTGTGTTTTAATTTTAGATTGAAGTAATTTTTCAAAATTTGAAGAAGTTGGTTTCTTTGATCCGGCTAAGAGTTGATGAGGCTCAAAATGATTTTTTTTTGCGGTTTGGTTTTTGATTGCTTTCCAAGTTCAGTTCATTTCATTTAATAAACGGAAGAAAAACTCTACTATCGAACAGCAAAAGTGTAAACGTTACGAAAAACGTGATCGACTTATAGTTAGAAACCGGACTTAATTTTCAAATTTCCCAGCAGAATTGAAAGATTATTTTTTGATCCAGTCTACAAATATTTAATCACAAAAGTGTTTATCAAAAATTGTTGTAGAAATTCACAAAGCTTTAAGACCATCAGTTTTTTGTTCTATACTCGAAAGTTGAGATTTATAAAAAAAAAACGGTCAGTCTTTTTTTTCTGTTTAGTTGCGTTCATTGACTCTTTTCTAACTGTCTCGTGGCTCGTTTACCTCCGCCAGAAAAATACCCATTTTTTTTGCTTAACTTGATGCGTTTGTACCCTTTTTGTTGCTGCTGCTTTTGTTGCTTTTGTTTTCATGTTTTTTATTTTGTTTGTAAATCAGGTTTATTTTATAGGTTTATTCTATCTTTATCCTCGTGTGAAAGCTGTCTGGTCATAGACGATACTCTGAATGTCCTCCCGGCATCCAACAGATCTATCCTCAACATCGAGAAGGTAGAAGAAGCACCGCCATCAGAATCAGTGGCACAACTTGATGAAGTCAAAACCCAATTAGCCGAAACACAGCCAATCGGAAGTCTCGTTAATGTGTGTAAAACACTGGACCAAGCAGAATCGCTGTTGAAGATGGTTGATGTAATCAGTGACAAAACATTACGTCATACTGTGTCTTTGACAGCCGCAAGAGGGCGTGGTAAATCAGCGGCTCTGGGATTGGCCATTGCGGCTGCTGTGGATTTTGGCTACTCGAATATATTTGTGACGTCACCCAGTCCAGAGAATGTGCGGACTCTGTTTGAGTTCATCTACAAGGGGTTCGATGTGTTGAAGTATGAGGAACACACAGACTATAGTTTAGTGCAGAGTACAAATCCAAACTTCAACAAGGCCATAATTCGCATCAATATCTTCAAGGAGCACAGGCAGACCATACAATATATAAAAGTAAGTTATTCATGGAATGTATGAAAGGTTTTAATTGACACGTGATGGCAACAAAATTTTTTTTTCCTGTTATAGTCATTTTGATTTCGGAATTAATAAAAAGCGAATTAGTGATTTTAATCGCAATTTTCGATGAAAATTACGAAACGGGGTATTCTTTAGGTTTTCGAACTTTTTGGCATAATTTTTTGCTTTTGGCAAATTGTTTTTTCGATTTGCACTGATCACCTTCTCACTAACTTCTAGTCCGAGTAATTTGCTATTTGAAGTAGGTTTGTAAAACTTGTGATTGTTTTTTTTTTGTTCAGCCCACAGATGCTTCGCAATTGGGACAGGCAGAACTAGTAGTGGTGGACGAAGCAGCTTCCATCCCTCTGCCAGTGGTTCGATCCCTCCTCGGACCCTACCTTGTTTTCCTCTCCTCAACTATCAGTGGCTATGAGGGCACAGGCAGAAGTCTCTCCCTCAAACTCATTGCACAGTTGAGACAGCAACACTCCACTGTGACTAAGAGTGGGGCGTCTGGCAGTGCGCCAGATGACATCTCGAGAAGTCTCACGGAGCTCACTCTAAAAGAGTCCATCAGGTTCGTTACCTGAAGAAATGTTCCGAAAAAAAACCCTGTAGGATTCAGTTATCATTTGAATTCTATTCGCTAAGCGCTGCATGTAAAATGCTCGATTCTGATTGGCTAAAACTTCAAGCTCAGTACCAAACATTACCCAAACTGTTTTGATCGGGATGATGCTAACTTGATTCAACTTGTTAGGTGTTCAAAGATAAATTAGTTTTTGAGTGCCATGAACGTAGTGAATACACTTATATAGGTCTTGGTGATTTTTTTGAAGTTTTTCTTTGGAAAATTTTATAAAATTTGTTCTCATTCTGATTTTTTGTGCTTTGACTTTTGATAAGTAATAAGTTAAAACAATTGATGCTTTCTTATTTCAGTTGAAACTCAAAAAGCTATTTGTTTTATACTGCAGTATAATAACTTAAATCCAATTTCAGAAATTTTCCAACTCGATATACTTCGCAAGATTTTCGAAATTGCATAATTTATACGCAATTTGGTTTAATACATTCTAATTTTCTGCATACAAAGTTATGCGGTTGCCTTTAGTTAATTACATTCAAAAGTAATACATACAAAATTTGAGTTTCGTACATTTTAAAGCTGCTGAATTTTTGCCGTTTTCGCGCTCGTGGTTGAGAAGATACAAATTTACAGCTGTGTAAAAGGAAGACAAACTTCACTATCGAACAACAAAAGTGGAAAGGTGACGAGAAACGTGACTGACTTCTAGTTTTGAAAGTAGATTTTAATATTCAGTTTTCCAAGTGGAATTAAAAATTAACCTCCTGATCCAGTTCCTGATTCAAATTGGGTAAATTGATCTTAAAATTCAAAGAGCTTTAAGGCATATATTTTTTTTCGTTGAAATTTGAAAGCTAAAAGTTTTTTTTTAATTTTTAAGTCAATTTTGTTTGTAGTGTTTCCTGGTGTTGCTCTTTTTCTAACTGTCTTTTCTAACTGTCAGTTGGCTATTTATTTCTTTAGCCTGTGTTTTTTTTGAGTTTGAGGTAAAATGTGCTCAATAAGATGTCATAACTTTTTTTTTGCTGACAGCATAGGATGCGAAGGGCTTACTTTTCAGCGCATTAAAAAATGCATTAAAGTAGGCCCTGAAATGCGGCCATCCTCTGAAGTTAGGTTTTTTTTACTAAGTGATCATTTTTTGCTTTTGTTCTGACAATTGAAAATTGGGATGAATTTTGTATTCGGCTGTTATAGTTTTTTTCCGCGCAAAATTTGGTACCACAGATAATGATCAAAATGAGTCTTGATATATTAAATTAAAGCTTTTCCAGTCGTGATTCGAACGAATGTAAAAATTTTCAAAAACTGTCCCAGTGTCGAGCAAAACTGATTTGCAGTACTAATTTTAAGTCTAAATTCGAGCAAACAAAGCGAGCGAACAGATTACAATAGGAAGAAAATTTTATTTATGCCCAAATTAAGCCGTGAAATCTTGGGTTTCTTCAAAGTTAGTTTTTGAGCGCCATTTTGGGAACTAACAAATTTTTGAATGTTTTAATTTTTTTTAATTTATTTTTCGACAAAAACTTGTCCAATTTGCCTATTATAATTTGGCTGTCGAATATACCTTAATTCTAGATTTTTGTTGAGTTCCCTTTAATTTTTTTGTTCTAATTTGTCAACAGCTTCTATTTGCGGGTAGGGTAATCAATAAAATTGCATTGAAAGATAACCTCAAATATCCAAGACCTTGTTGATATCCTGTTCTGTATGAAGTTGGTGGACAAAAATACCGGTTTTCTAGTGTTTTGTTTCTGATCTGATCGTTTATTTGTGGACGAGATATAATGACTGACCCTGTTGCAGATACCAGAGTGGGGACTGTGTGGAGTCATGGCTGAATGGTCTGTTGTGTCTGGAGAGTGACAGTGTGTTGAGGGTGAGTGCCGGATGTCCCCTGCCAGAGAAGTGCTCCCTCTACTACGTCAACAGGGACACCCTCTTCTCATACCACAGGTACGCTACATATGGGGACGGACGTCTCATTTATTCTTAAGGTTGCAAGCGTTACCAAATCGGAATATGGACTTTTTTCGGGTTAACAACTTGTTTAACAGAATCACTTGGTACCTTGGCTCACAATAAGTTTCTTTGCGTCTTCGGTACACTTAGTCTGCAGGTAGCGAAAACGCGTGGGACGGCAAAGGTTCTGGGTTCGAATCTGACCTGGACCTGCTTTTTTTTTGCAGACGTGAAATAATCCGTTTCAAAAAAATTGTCGGATGATTATTTGTCTGCTTATGTTTTGTCGGCTTAATTGCCACATATTAGATTTTTTTGCCGTATGCAGTTTTCATTGTAGTTGTTTTCTATGTTTTCAGTTACTCCTGCAATTTGTAATTCTACTAACCTTGACTTCGTATATTTTCCTATTTTGTTTTTTTTTTCGCTTAGAAAAATTTCGAGTAACTGTTTTCATTGTAGTTGTTTTCTATGTTTTCAGTTACTCCTGCAATTTGTAATTCTACTAACCTTGACTTCGTATATTTTCCTTTTTTGTTTTTTTTTCGCTTAGAAAAATTTCGACCTAAATGATTTCGGCTTATGTTTTATTAGCTTATTAAGCTAATTTTGGGTCGCTCGAGGGAGCCATCATTTGTATGCTTTTCTCCGGATCGCACAAAACGTTTAAAAATTCAGAATAGAATTTATAGTTCAAATTTTTGCATGACAACAATTTTATTTTCGCTTGATAATTGTTTTTGAATGTTCATTAAACGCCATCGAATGTGTTTCTGGGTGTATTTTTTGCAAATATAACATCATTCAGACAACATTTTGAAGTTTTTTATTTGTGGTTTTTTCGAAAATTTTCCAGTTTTTTTGGACTTAGTGGCTCTCCTTTTCTTTCCTGTCTGTTAGCTTGCAAAGCAGTTTTTGTAGTATCGCTTGTGATGCGAAGCTCCTCTTCGCCTCTATGTCAAACTTTAATACACGCACATGATTTTCGGTGATTTTTGAATTTATGTGTAATAACAATCGAGAATAAACTCGTTCCCGAGCATTTGTAGTTACAACGAGGACTTTAAGTCTCAGCTTCCATAGAAAATATAGATGCCAGGCGATTAAAAAAATTATTTTTCTGGCCTTGTCGATCGGCCCATTTTTGTCTAAGTGGAGTCTATCGATTTGTTACTGCTGGTGATCGTTTCGGCATTTCACACGTCAGTTGGATATACATGAAATTTAATTAGGAATGTAATTAAAAAAGAAATGTAACTACTTATTCCTTTTATACGAAACTTCCATCTTTTCGCTTTTGGATACACCATTTTATAGCGCAATTTGGATGGCGTATAGCTTTTTTCTATAATAGAAAGAAATTGAAGCCCAGGAAAATCGGTTTTTAAATGATTTTCTTCGTCTTACTATATTTTGTGGAGCGTTCGTCATCTTGCTGTTTTTCTGTTGCTCTAAATTTACGAGCAATTCAGATCAGAGTAGTTGTTGAAGATAGGGCTAATATATATTTTTTAAAAAAACGAGACAGCTCGTATCAGGGCGATGCCCTGAATGTTATTACTGCCTGTTTTGAGGTCTATGGAGCATTTATAACATGAAAAAAATAAGAGTAATAAATTAAAGCGATATTTAAAGAGTAATGCACGTAATGAAGACTTATATAGGTCTTGTTGATTTTTGTTTTTAGGAAAAAGCCTTAGAATGTGTATCAAAGTCTCTAATAACTACAGATGTGAGTTCGTACATATTGATGCATTTATAAATGCACTTCGGTATTCGTGCACGTTTTGAGTTCAATTGAAATTCATCTTCTGAAAGTGGCGTAAATAGCACTCCGAATACAAACCTGGAAATGGCGTGAAAAAACGTGAACGCTTTCTAGTTTTCAAAGTGGAATTTGATTTTAAGATTTCCTGCGGAATAAGAATTTTACCCGTTGGTCCAGTTTTCTCAAACTGGGTTAGTATTATCATAAAAGCGACAGTCATTAATTGTTCTAAAAAATCAAAGTTTAAAGGGCATCTATCCTTTCTTTGAAATTCGACGAGATTTTTTCAACAACGTTTTTTTTTCTGCTTACTACTGTTGATTACTGTTTTCCAATCTTCGATTGGCTATATTTTTAAATTTGAGATTTTTGTGAAAGTCATCCCCACACGCCATATGATAGGTTTCGCTCCTAGTAACAAATCAATTATGGCAAGCAAGCTTCCTTCAACCAATTTGGAATGAAATCTAAGACGGATTAAATCTCGGCTTATGCGTTACTAGCGCGAAGTATATCGTGGGTTAATTCTTACAAATTGGCCGAAATGGCAATCTTGAAATCCCCATAGTTTTACGAAAAATGATCACAGGTGAAATATCGTTTTAAATCCAAGCTCAGGACAACAATAACTTTTGAATTTTATTTAAAAAAAAAATTTCGTAAAAATTGGCTAGTTAAAAAATCGGAAGTTTTTCTGGAGAAAAAAAGCACCCCGAGCACAAATTTTCTGTTAATTTCGTAGCGAAAGTCGGAACAATAAAAAAGTGCCGGGAAAAGGGTTTTTTTATTTAGTTCAGTATATTAGTTCTTTGCGAAGCTTGAATTGGATCTTGTTTCTTCGCAGGGCTTAGACTGTGCAAGACACAACCAAAACTATGTAGGCGGTAATATCCGTGGTTTACCGTTATTATTTATTCTTTGTTGTTATGGCCACTAAGTGGCGATGAACTTTGTCGTCGGGTGTGTTTTGGTTTTTGAATCGATGAACGCTTTTTGCGACTTTTCGGGAAAAGTCATAAAATTAGTTCACGCTCAAACTTGATGTTTCGCTATTTGATTTTCTTTCTGGTTCAGTTCATTTCCTTTGGTAAAAGGAAGGCAAGCTCGACTATAAAACAGCGAAAGTGTAAAGGAAAACCGTGATCGACTTCTGGTTTCGAAACTGGAATTTAATTATCAGATTTCCCAGCTAAATAAAAATTTTACTTATTTATTCAGTTTTCTCAAATTGGGATAATTTTATAAAAAACTTGTCAAACATAAATTGAACTAGAAATTAAGAGATTTTAGTTCATAAATTTTTTACTTTGAAATTTGAACGTTTTTTTTTCATTTGTTTCCTTGTGATCCTTGACTATTTTATATTTTTCTGTTGGTCAGATTATCTATGCAAAAGCAGGTACCACAAATAGTTATAGAACGGTTAAGTGCTATATCATAGTAAAGCTCTTTTAGCCCTGAATCGATTGACATTTATAAATTGAAAATTTTTTTGCTAGTACCGAGAAAAACCAGTTAATTTTTTTTGCTTTTTAGTCTAATAGAGCTGTTTTGGCTAATTTTTAGGCAATTATAGGTGTTATAATATGAAATTATTTTAGTATTAGCTGTGAAAAGTTAGCTTGAGAGGCTTCTTTTAGCGTTTACCTGGCAATGAGTTTTTTTCGTTTTACCGAGAGTCGATGAACGCGATGCAGACTCCTATATGGGTCTTGGTGATTTTTTTTGCGTTCATTGACTATTTTCCAATTAGCTGATGGCTGTGTTTCAATTTTTGAAGTCATATGAAGTTTGTTATGGTTAATTTACTTAAGATCTTATCTTAAGTTTTTCCTCTAATCGCCCGACTCACAAAATAACTGCAAAATTTTTTGATGTTTTTATGCATGTGGTCGGAAATTTCTGTGCTACTTGCGCAGCAACCAGATATTCGTGATTTTTTCAAGTTTCATGGCCTTCAAGTGGCATCGTACATTTTACGCTGATAATTCGTAGGGCGACACTTCGTAACAAACGACAATTCGTAACAAAGCATTGGCAAGAGAAGAATCGTGCGCATAGATTAGTGTTTACCGCTTAAATTACTACTACGAATTGTCGCCTGTTACGAATTGTCGCCCTACTGATTATCAGCGTTAAATTTACGATGCCACTTGAAGGCCATGAAGCCATAACTGATAAAATAAACTAAGCAGTTGATTGTGAACAAAAAACGAGGATAGCTGGTTCACGCTGACAGTTGCCTCGATTTAGTTTTGAGTTATTTCAAGCTCAATAGTTTTCAGCTACATTTTTATTAGGAAGTTGTTTCCGTAAAAATCTTATTCAGCACCTTTCCGTAAAATTGTGAGAGAATCTATTTTTATTGGAAGTTTTGATATTGCTATACCGTTAATGCAGCACAAGTGATCTGAAGCTCCGCTGCACTGCTTTTGATTTTGCTCTTCGTTTTGCTTGTTGCATTGCTCTTGAATGATGTAATGGGTTTGTTTTCTTATGCTCACTTTCAACCGATAATTTTTTATCGCAGTGCTTCGGAGGAGTTTCTGCGACGTCTGATGTCGATCTACGTGGCTGCCCACTACAAAAACAGTCCCAACGACCTTCAGATGTTATCAGATGCACCTGCGCACCACTTATTTGTCCTACTGCCTCCAGTGGACCCAAAAATCAACAAACTGCCAGAAATTCTGGGTTAGGTTATGGTGAATCAGTTTTAAACTGTCAATGAACGAAGCAAAAACACTAATTAAGAGTAATAAACGTATTGAGTACTCTTATATAGGTCTTGATGTTTTTTGTTTTTTTTTCAGGCAAATTTGTTCACGCTCAACTTTGAACTGTTGTGCGATTTGAATTTAACTATTTCTTACATTTAATTCTAATTATTTTTAATATTAAGGCAAATTGCACTCTTTAAGGAAATGGAGCGAAAAAACTGAATGAATGTTTTCAACTTTAAAAAATTGATTTGGCTTTTTACAAGTTATCTAGTGAGCCTAATTTCTTTAGTTGGGTACTTTTTGTTTGAAACGTTTTTTTTTTATAAATTTAACCCAAACAATTTTTATAGATCAAAGAGCTCTGTGATATTTTTGTCTTCAAACTCAAGAAATAAATATTTTTCTAACAAAATCTCTTGGCTGTGGGAAGTTTGGTTTGGCAAGTATAAAATGAATCATTTCTGAAATCGCATTTTGATAGGCAGGGTTTTGTATAAACTATGCAAGAAAAGGTACTAAACAACGTGCAAAAACTACGCAAAACAGCATGACGATTATTTTGCCGAATTTTAATGAGCTGATATATGCAAAATTAACTCAACTGACCCTGTTCAGAGTTTTGTGCATAGAGAACAAGAAAGCAGAATGATCCTTCTCCAAAAATGATCATTCATAACTTGACTTCAATTAATAACGCCAACTTTCCAGGCAGTTCTTATAATTTTTTTTTTTGGTTTCAGTGGTGGTGCAGGTGGCACTGGAGGGGGAGATCAGAGAGAGCAGTGTGGAGGATCAGTTCTCCAGGGGCAGGAGGGCGGCAGGGGACCTCATTCCCTGGACTGTCTCCCAGCAGTTCCAGGACGCCTCCTTCGCATCACTCGCAGGCGCCAGGATAGTCAGAATAGCCACACACCCGGACTACCAGCGCATGGGATTCGGACTCAAAGGTCAGTTGATATCGGGCGCAATGTGTGTGCTTCAGTGTCTAGATTAAAGATCATTTTTTTGCACTCGATTAGAGTTTAGTTTCCTTGTTTAGACACAATCGAAAATTGCGCACCTAATAAAGTTTACAAAAAAGAATTTTAAACGAGAAAAATGCCTGTTTTTGGTAATGATTATTTTGGTCATTTTAAATATACGCCTTATCTCCATAATACTTTGATAAATTTGAGCCATAATAAATTTGAACCATTTGAAATTTATCATGATTTTGACCTTGGATATGTTTCAATCAGACGTCATATTATCTTCACTGTTAAATAAGTTTTCAAATTCCCAATAATCTAGCTCAGTTTTTTTCAGCTCTGGAACTTCTGGAAAGCTACTACTCTGGAAACTTTGTCTCTCTCAACACAAATGAAACAGAAACCCACAATAGTGCAGTAGCAAATGAGTCTTCGGAGCACCCAAAGAAAGGATCAGCACCGCTGCTGTTGAAACTTGACGAACGACCTTGCGAACACTTAGATTACGTCGGAGTGTCGTTCGGGCTAACTGCCGAACTGTTTCGCTTTTGGAAACGACGAGGCATGAAGCCCATGTATGTTCGGCAGACATCAAATGATATTACGGGAGAGCACTCTTGTATTATGCTGAAACCTCTGGGCGAAAACAACTCGCAATGGTGCAAACAGTTTAATTTGGATTTTCAACGAAGATTTGTATCGCTTCTATCGTATGAGTTTAGAAATTTTGCGGCTCCTTTGGCGCTTAATATTCTGTACTTGAAAGATCAGAAGTGTTTAGAAAATATAGCTGAAGATAAATTGCGCTTTTTGATGATCCCGTATGACTTGAAGAGACTGGAGTTGTATGCGAAGAATTTGACAGACTATCACTTGATCATGGACTTGGTGCCAATTTTAGGTTAGTATGACGGTTTTATTTGACAGAAATCGCCGGTTGTTGAAGCAATTTTAGAGAGTTAAAAAATATGAGAACTGTCGAATTTTCTTTAGTTTCGAAGCAACTTGAGGAATGTTTAATATACTCAGAACTGTTTTTATTAGTTTTGATGGTTTTATTTCAGCTCATTGCTATCTTTTGAATTTCAGCCACAGATTTCAATTTTGTTCATAAAAATTCACGATTGAAAAAATTATTAGTTTAAGTGCACTGGGTGAAGTTATTTTCTTTAATATATTAGTTTGTTTCTTTTGAATGCTTCAGCCAGACTCTACTTCACCCACCAGATAGAAGTGTCTCTCTCTGGCATCCAGGCCACAATTCTGTTGGGAGTGGGACTGCAGCACAAGAGTGTGGACACTGTGGCCACTGAGCTGGACATGCCCCCCTCCCAGACACTGGCCGTGTTCTGCAAACTCATCAAGAAGTTCTCCCAATCCATGCACGAAGTGATGGCTACTCAAATTAAGAAAAGTATCGAGCAAAGTCAAAGAGAGGTTAAAAATCATTCGGCGGTTTTTTTTTCATTTTAAGAGTCGAATGTTGTTAGTCTCTTATATAGGTCGTGATGATTTTTTTCTATTCGTTTTTTTTTCAGGAAAAGTCTTAAAATACTAGCAAAAAACAAACAAAGCTTATATTACATCTTTTTCGTACGAAGAATCATAAAATCTATTTTAAAAGTTATTTCTACATTAAAACGTGAACAAGTGAAAATATTTTAGAACGTTTCTCCATGCAAATAATTGTATGAACCATTGTTGTAATTTGTTGTAAATGTTTTTAATTTTACGAGGGGTAGGCAACGGGAAAAGAGCCAAGTTCCTTTGCTCTCCAATTATGAAAGCTGAAATGGCGCGAAAAAACGTGATCGGTTTCTAAGTTTCGAAAGTGGAATTTATTTTTAAGATTTCTCAGCAGAATAAAAACCTTTCGTTATAATCCAGTGTTCTCAAATGGGGTTAATATTATCAAAAAAAATGCCAATTTTAAATTGCTCTTGAAATTCTAAGACGTTTAAGGCCGTACATTTTTTGTTCGAAATTCGAAAGCGGAGTTTTTTCTAAAAAGTCAGTTTTTGGTCTGTGTGTTTGCGTTTGTTGACTCTTCTCCAACTGTCTGCTGGCTATATTTTTTGTTTTTCCGACTTTCTAAGAAAGCGGAATATTTGTGCTTCGGGGTGTTTTGTTTTCAGTCAATTTTCGGCTATCCAAATAATAGTTTTGACAATTTTTTGTACACCATTGAAGATATCGACTCCCTGAAATTAAATGTGAAAAGATGTTTTGCCTCAATCATTTTTTTGCAAAGTTCTGGGAGTTTGAAAAATGCCAATTTGGCCATGTTCTGTACTATTTTATGTGCGTTTTGAAGATTTTATTAAAAATGCTGAAAGCGTTACACGAATTATTTATGCCTGGCGAATTGTCCCGCACAACAAATTGATTTGAGGCTAGCTAATTGGTCGTATTGTGAGTAATGAACGTTTGTTCACTCTAAACTTTGATTTTTCGCGGTTTGAAGTGTGTTTTTTTTTAGTTTCACTGCATTTCCATTGTTAAAAGGAAGACAAACTCCACTATCGAACTGCAATAGTGTAAAGGTCAAGAAAAACGTGATCGACTTTTCGAAAATGGAAATTAATTATCAGCGTTACCAGCGAAATAAAAGTTGTACCTTTTGACTATTTTCGCAAAAAATTTTAGCAAAAAAATTATAAATTGTTCTCTAAATTCAAAGAGCTTTAAGGGCATCTGTTTTTTTCTTCGAAATTCGAAAAATTTAGGTTTTTGAAAAAACAAGTCAGTTTTTTTCAGCTTCCTTGCGTTCGCTGCGCTTTTCCAACTGTCAATTGGCTATCTTTAATTTCGTACGTCTCAAATTTTTACACGTGATCTATGAGTTTGCCCAAATCTTATAGTTTTATAATACTTTCTTTTGCAAAAAACTATTCAATTTGGATTAAGGGGCAGTCGGAACATTCATGGCGTTGCCCTGATATACGAGCAGTATTATTTAGTTGTTTATTGTCATTTTATCTGTACTACGGACGACCTTTGGCTGAAAACGAAGTTATACCATGCCGTATAAAAGTTACGAAGAGAAATTTATGCAAGCATATTAGTGTGAATTGATTGGTCTCTGAACTGAAAAAGCAATGCTTAAGGTAGCAATAAGTGACTGTTATTGAAATGATAACAATAGTTAACTACATGTCTCTATGACGAAGTAGAAAAGAAAACTCCGACCATTGATTACATGTTTTCCAATTCAAGTTTAAAAATTTCATAATTATAAATGCGAATACACTTTTATATAAGGCTGAGAAGATTGGTAAATATGTACTTTGTACCATTAAGTCATTTGTATCGATTTGTTTGCTTCAATTTGTGGCGTGTCTTGTAGGTTGGGTCCCGAGTGAGTGAATTGAAACCGACGGCAGTCAGTCTGGACAGAGACCTGGAAGAGGCTGGGGAGGAGGGGGAGGCTAAAATGAAGCAGCAGAGAGACAGACTGCTGGAAGAAGACGAGGGGGAGGAGGAAGAGATAAAGACGGAGTCGGATGAAGTAGAAGTGAAAGTGAAAGAGAAGAAGGCGCCTAGGAAGTATGACATCACAGGTGAGTCGCCACGTATATATTTCAGAATTTAAGATCAATTCAAAGTGTTTCAAGCAATTTCGGATGATATATATCATTTTTCTTAAAAACTTAATTTATGGCGTTGTGTTGAGCAAGAAGGTTGAAGTTTTCTGGGATGATTATTTTTCTGACTGCAAGTAATCCACTTACTCATTTTGCTAAAATTCCGGTAGCCGTCATCATAGAAAAATCAGCTTCGGTGGGCGCAAAAAATTGTTGTTAAAGAGGTGCAAATAGTCATCAAGCCGAGCCGTCTAAGTTGCAGCTTCAATTATTCGAGTAAAAATCAAGTTTTTTTTGCTAATTAAACATCAATTTTGATTTTTAATTGTTTTATTATTTTGTTTGAAGTCACCGATGAAGAATGGAACAGTGCTCTGGAGAAGTCAGAACTGAAGAAAAGCATCTCTATCCGGAGGAGTGAGTCAGCAGCTGACACACTGAGTAAAAAGAGACCCCTGGATCCAGAAGAGTCCGTGATAGACTCAATACTGCAGCCAAAGAACAAGAAAGGAGACAGTCGGAAGAGTATGAGTAGCTATGAAGATCCAAGTCTGAGCCAGAAGACAATCATAAGCAAAAAACACAAGAAGTTTCTAAGTAAACGATCATGATTGTATAAATCGATTTTGTTGTCTGTTATGAATGGACATTTGAATTGAAAATTGTTTACTGGCCAGTATAGTTCACTGAACTGGCATCCCGTTTTAACTCGAAAACGTCTCGAAATTTGTGCAGCATATTTTTTGATATTAATAACCGGGATCCGCGATTATCTCGTATTGTCTGTGGATTTTGATAGTGAGTGACGATGAACGCAGTTGTAGTTTTGATTTTTTACTTGATTAAATTAATTTGCTAAACCTAGAAGGGAGGCAAATTATGCTTTTCAATTGAAAAAACACTAATGGCGCGAAAAATGTGCACAATTTTAGGTTCTAAAAGAGGACTGGAATTTTTTAGATTACGCAGCAGAGCCGAAAAAGTACTATTAGGCCAGACCAAGTTTTCTCCAATTGAATTAGCTAAATGAAAAATGGTAACTATCAAATATTTTTGAATGTGAAATGTATTTGAAAAGATGACTTTGTGAAAAAAGAAAATAATTCACAAACGTCCTACATTTTTCCGATTGACCCATTGTTCTCTTTTGGCTTCGTTGATGAAAAAATTCTCGTCGAAATTCAAATTGCTTCAACATGATTTTTTTACTAGCGAACTTCAGTTAGTGTTATGCTACGACTATTTTTTTTTCTAACCTGAGAAGCAAATATTGGTGCCACTTTAGAGGCACCTTTACGGCTTTTTGATAACATAGCATGTGTATTGATATTCATATAGTTATAAGTTAACTTAGTTAACTCATTTTTAAACTTGCGAAGCGAGTCTATTAGTACGAACCTTCTGTTTTTTCCCGACCTAATTCGCAAATATTGGTGCCACTTCTGGGGCACCTTTGCAGCTTTTTCAGAGCATGTGCTTTGACATTCGAATAGTATAAGTTAACTCAGTAGTGTTAAGGTATCATGGATCTAGCATAGAGGCAGGGAAGGAAACCCGCAACAAAACTGGGCAGCGTAGGATGTTTTTAATGAACTTTTTTTCGTAAACTAGCCAAGTTGCGTCCGCTCTATAGATTGAGGCATGGTAGTTGGTATTTTTGTTTCAAATTGACTGGTACTGCCAATGCGTCAAAATTGGCTTGCGTCACTTAGCAATTATGTAGACTCATAATTGGCGTGCGTTACTTCAGAAATTTTGTAGACTCAAAGTTTTTCTCATTCCGTTTTTCCCAGTAGCGTTATCGGTTAAATTTGTGCAATTTCGCCTTTGTTAATTCATCAAATGAACCGAAAAAAGTGACTTGTTTCGCACAACATAACAATAATGAATACTCGATCTCAAAATTTTTCTAACTATAATCTCGAAACTTTTGAAATGCATTATTTATACTTAATGTGGCTTTATGCTACGCGATTATTTTTGTGCAAAGTTAGTGTGGATGCTTTTAGTTTGTTATATTCCAAATTATTACTTGCAAAATGAGTCTATTCGCATTTGATGCCACTTGCTGAATAGCAATGTCAATTCATCAGCATAGGTGGCTGTCATATTCGTGACTAGTGTTTGTCGCTTAATAAGCGTGCATGGCTGAGTGGACAGAGACTCAAAATATCTTGATTGCAGTGGGTTGCAGATTCGAATCCATCCAACACTCAGCCGAGTTTTTGCTAATTAGAGGCTTAGTTCTTATTTTACTTGATAGAGCGGCTTTTTGTCATGCTCTTGCAAGTTTTTGCAGGGCGCAGCTTCGCCTCTGAGTAAATTACTCAAATGAACCGGAAAAAGCTAATTGTTTCCAACGACAATCATAAAAACTCGCTTTCAAAACTTCACTTAATATATCTAACAATTTTTGAACTGACAACTATTGCAAATATTGCAACTATTGTAACTATTGCAACAATAGCAACTATTGCAACTATTGAGGAGTTTGTCAACCCCGACACGAAATGATGAGGAAAAGCGACAGAGCGATAAGACCGCCGTCTTGTTTTGGTTTTCGTGATCACTCGGAAGAAAATCCAAATGAGGACTCCGTTTCTGCGTCGCAGAGAGTTAGTGACGATGAACAAGAGGATTCATACAACGAAACCAAAGACAAAATAGAAAATGAAGAACAACATACTGGGGCGACTCAACAGCTTCGTGTTATGACCCTCAGCGAGCAAGGCCATTATCCTGTCGTACCCATTACAGAAAACGTCACAAACTGTTTGTTTGACGCCTTTGGAGGGTCTCTCGACATATCTAAGGAAGTTCAAGAAACTGAATGGGGAACAGATGGACTGTGAGTGTGAACCTCCAAGGCAAACTGTATTTAGTCCCGGGGGGAAACATTGGCCGTAAATACGTTGATCTTTTAACGAAAGAAGTCTGCCGATTGAACCAAAACGAATGTTCAGAACGACTTCTTATATTCAGCCGATTAATCTTACAGCGGGACCCAATGATAAAAACCACACGTGATGTGATAGCTTTGATAGGAAGACGACTTGAAGACTGGGAAAATAGTAAGTTCAATATTCTACTACAAGAAGCCAAACGATGTTCACAAAAACAACCGAGGAAACCTATGAAAAAAAAAATAGATCTGAAGACGAGCACACCGCAGTGGTTTTTGCACGAATGATGATGGAAGGGAAAGTTCGGTCTGCCATGCTTTGGCTGACAAGCAGATCTGGCGGAGGTTTGCTCCATCCAAATGACGAAGTTATTGATTCCACAACAAAAACAAGAAAATTAGTCATTGACATTTTGGAAGAAAAACAACCCGTAGCACAACAGTCAAAAGAAGAAGCAAGAATACAAGTAGACAGCTTGCCTGAGTTAGAAACAGTAACCATCACTTCTTCTTATATAGAAAAAATTGCGAGGTCAATGCACGGTGGAGCCGGACCTTCAGGAACAGATTCGGAACACTGGAAAGACGCATTTCTTCGATTTGGAGGACATAGTTCGGCTTTGAGAGACGAAGTGGCAGCGCTGATCACAAAGATAGCTAACGAAATTATTCCATGGAACCAAATACGAGCATTGATGTCAGGTCGTCTGATCGCTTTGGACAAGTGCCCCGGAGTTAGACCCATTGGCATAGGTGAGTGTTTGCGAAGAATAATGTGTAAATGTATGGCCGAAGCGACCAAAAAAGATCTCGAAGAAACCTGTGGATCTCAACAACTAGCTTGTGGTGTGAAAGCAGGAATAGAAGGAGCTGTACACTCAGTGGAGGAGTTGTTTAATAGCACCAAAGAGGACGGACATGGTCTTCTATTGATGGATGCCTCAAATGCATTCAATGCATTGAACAGGGAAACGGCTCTATGGAATGCTAGAATACTTTGGCCAAGGTGCTCACGATTTCTTTTCAACACTTATAGTGGGTATGCGCCGCTAATTGTTGCAGGAACGACAGAACTTCTTTTCAGTAGTGAAGGCACTACACAGGGTGATCCACTAGCGATGTTATTCTATGGTGTTTCATTGATGCCACTGATTGAATCACTCAAAGACCGAGATAAGTATTTACAAACATGGTATGCAGATGATTCGGGAGCTCTCGGCGCACTAGAACTGGTTGAATGGTTGTCATCTTTGACTGAAAACGGCCCGAAGTATGGCTATTACCCCGAGCCAAGCAAAAGTTATTTGGTTGTTCACCCGAACTTTGTTGAAAAAGCTCATCAATTGTTTGACAGGTTCGGCATCAGAATAGTTGAAGGTAGAAGATATTTGGGCGGATTTATTGGCTCTGATGAAGGCAAAATTCGTTTCACTTTAAAAAAAGATCCAAGAATGGCTGGATTGTCTTGGCGAGTTGTCCAAAATGGTAGAAAAAGAACCTTAAGCTGCTTTAGTTGGATTAACAAGATCACTGCAATGCAAATGGAATTTTGTCCAGAGAGTAGTCAAAGATACGTCGCAGTTGTTTGCTCCTCTCGAGAAGATGTTGGAGGAAAACTTTTTGCCAAGCTTACTAGGAACTTCTAGTGTCACACACTCAGATCGTGTTTTGTATTCACTTCCTGTCAAAAGAGGGGGACTAGGTGTACGAAATACAATAGAAGGTTCCAAACTAGCATTTTCCAGTTCACGTGAAGCAACCGACTGTCTCGTGAGTTCGATCCTTAACCAAGATGATTTCGACCAAACTCTACACAAAACAAAGATGAGAGAAGCAAGAAAAAATCACGAGGAGAAAAAAAATGCTGTGGACAAAGATAAACTCGATGAATTGCTTGCAGTTTTACCAGCAGATCAGAAACGAGCGATCCGGAGAATAATCGACAACAACTGTTCCTTGTGGCTAACTTCGCTGCCCTTGTTGAAAGATAATTTTGATTTGTCAGCCACAGAGTTCAGAGACGCTCTATGTGTCAGGTACAGAAAACCACTCAAACGTTCTTTCTCGAGATGCGATAGATGTCAACAAGATTTTGACTTACAGCATGCATTTTCTTGCAAGAAGGGCGGACTGGTAACACTACGACACAACGAAATAAGAGACGCAGTGGGCGATCTTGCTTCAATTTTGTGGAAAGATGTGAAAAGAGAACCTGTCGTAAAAGAACCAGATATAGAAAATGGAACCCCGGCACTAATTGCAGATCTTTCAGCTCGTGGGGTTTAGGATAGACAGTCGGCTGCGTCGTTCGACATCCGTGTTACAGACACTGACGCTCCGTCTTACCAAAACCGCAATCCCATGAATGTACTGAAAACTGCAGAGATTGAGAAGAAAAATAAGTATGGACCAGCTTGTGAAGAAAAGCACATGTCTTTCACTCCACTTGTCACTTCAATAGATGGTGTTTTGGCACCGGAGTTCACGTTTTTCCTCAAACGACTAGCAGATGATCTGGCATCAAAATGGGACCGCCCATATAGTCATGTCATGTGCTGGGTGAGATGTAGAATTTCATTCGCTATACTAAGAGCAACCAACATTTGCATCAGAGGCACAAGATCCAAATGGCGATCCCTCGGCGTTGAGGACTTTTACACACTTGGAATGGCATTCTAAATATTCACAGGCTGTTAACTGGGGCTTTCATCGCGCATAACTGACTCCTATGATATTAGAATTTCGACACCATTTGCATATTATTTCGAAGAATATGAGATGTGTGAAGATAAAAACACAAGATGACAACTGTGAACAAGCAACGAAAAACTTTTCCTTGCACCATTCGAAATAATTTATTTTGATTTTAAGTTAAATTAAAAAAAAATTTAACGAGCTGAAAAAAATTTTTTTTTGATCAGCTGACTTATAGAATTTTACGAAGTGAGTGGAAAACTGGAAAAGAGCCGTTTTATTGACATTTTGCCATGTTTTTTTAGCCGAAGCAAAATTGATATGGAATTATTGGCTATAGGAAGATCAAAACGCTCTTAAATCCAAAGTGAAAAAAATAGCAGCAAAAATGATTCAATGAATAGGAGGAGGACATATCATCTTTCCCTGTGAAACTCGAATATTCATAATTTCTAAAAATGACTACTGTAAAAGCAGTAACACAGATAACTGTCTCAGGCTATCTGTTTTCTGTTTTTTTTTCCTGCAAAAAAGAATTGTAAGATACGTAGATGGGCCCCGGAAAATTTGACGACAAGCAAATTAGACGACGTAAAAAACGGAATTTAGACGATATCTGCTTCTGATTTTAGACGATAAAGATTGGGTCATATACCAAAAGAAAACCAGTAAATTATCACAGAACTGATCAAAAATGATTGTAAATAAATCATAAATCATTAAATCGAAAAATGAAATAACACTTTGAATGCAACAATTATACAAGGGTGATATTTACCAGTATTTACTCAACCAAATTTTAATTTAAAACTGCAAACAAATTTCCAGCCTTTTGCACGCAAGCTATCGTCTAAATTCCGTTATTTTCGGATCGTCTAATTTGCTTGTCTAATTTCCTACATCACATCAAAGATCGTAGCACTTCGTGTACTATAGTAAGCAAAACAAAATATACAGCGCAAATTGGCAAGTGATTTTGATAGTTAGGCAGTAAACGTTTGCTTAAACATTTATAAACTTCAGCTTTGCTTAATTCACTTTCTCACCTAATTGACAATAAAGTTCACTGTCTGGATCATAACCGTCTGCTTGTCAATTGCCCCAATTTTTTATTAATTTTATGTATATCTTCATAAATTTTCAATAAGGTGATATATTTTCGTTAAAGAAACTAAACAGATAAATTTTGTCCTTTAAATTCGATACAATTGGAACAATTCATCCCAATATTTGGTATAAATAGAACTTTACTTTGCTAGGAATTTCTAATCGTTTTTTACTGAATAAGTCTTTGAATAGTTCCAAACCATAAAACTAAAATATGCTAGTTGAAGTTCTTGATTCAACAAGCTCTTGATTCAACAAACATGCCAAAATAGCATGTTTGCTATTCAGAACATCTCAGTAGCTGCCAGGACCTTTATTTTTTTGTATCGTTATGGTGACTTAATTACGTCACAATGAGCTTTTTTAACGAAAACGTAAGCGTGCATGCCAGTCAAAATTTGTCAAACGTGTCGCAGAAGTTTTATTTTTTGTCTTTTTGGTTGTATATGTTGTAATCATTTCCTTTATGAATAAATGAAGTTCTCATTTAACATGGTTATCCTACGGTTTCTATTTAGCTGCTGCTTTTTTCTCATGTTTTATCTGGTTTTTGGGCGTTATAACATTCATTTTTGAAGTATATAGCACGCTCATTTGTTATAGCACGCTCAGGCTAGTTTTTGGCGTTATAAAAATTACGAGATTAAGTGTTTTGTAATCGGGGACTTTTTTTCCAGTATACAATACTCTTGCAAGAGAAATTGCAGTTGCTTTAATGTTGATCCTTAACAATTTCCAGGTTCATTCTAACTTGGCCTGGAGGTACGCGGTCATCTTGACTCTAAGAAATGGAGTTCGGCTTGCGACACGACCTTGTTTTTTAAATCAATGAAAATGAAATATTTTTCCGGTGAACATTGAATTAATAGACTTTCGTTTGTCTGCTCAAGTATCGTCGACAAAAATTATATCATTATTTTTTTTTGCTGTAAGCAGGTATCATAGTGGTTGCAAGAGTTAATTATTTTAGATTGAAGAAGACTTGAAAATTTTTCGCTAAATCAATTGTTTTTCTGCTCAATTGGTTTCTGCTCAGAGATAGTCGGCTTCGTAAGTTTCGCAAGCAATTTTTCCAAGAACTGTTTTTTTTTTAAAAAAACCAGGTATTAAGATAATTTTTCTTTGATAAAAACCGGTATTTTTCGTGATTGATAAAAACAGGTATTATGAAAGTGTATGGCATATGGATTTTTTTTCTTTTTTTTTGAGAGGTTTTGGATGTTTCTTCATTTTTTTGAATTTCGCAACAATGTTTAGCTTTTTCTCACCTACCTTACCAATTTTCAAAGAACGGGTATCCATGTACCGCTTAATCTCCTGTGCGCCTGCATAATCTAATCCCCTAGTAGTGGCCCTTTGAGAAGGCAAAATTTTTCAATTTTGACAGCTCGTGAAACTTTTTGACTATTCTTGAGAAACCCTCCCAAATCTGAGATTTAAAAAAAATTTTATAGGTAAATATGAAAAGCTCCCAGACTAAAAAATAAGCAGTTAGATTTAAAAAATCATTTGTCTCATTATGTGTTATTTCTGCATCGCTAAACATTTCTTGTTTCATTTATAAAACTATGTTCTAAAATTGATTTATTTCCATAATTCTTCTGATTTGACTTAAGAATTCAATATTAAGTTATCTTTTATTTTGAAGTTTTCACCCAATTGGTGAAGGCGTCCTCATACCGTCTTCTGCTAGCAAAAAAACAGCCGAATTTTTTTGAATATTTTTGTATTTGTTTGAAAAGAGTTTGAATTTTTTTCAAAATTATTTTGTTCAAACTTTATGAGCCAAAAACACGGTACAGTTTCATGGTTTGAGGGATCTGAAAATGAATTACATTTTTCTTCTAACTCAGCAAATGTTTCAATTCATTTGATAATGTTATAAAAAATATAAAGAATAGAATAAAAACTTGGATACTCTTATGAAAGGGTTACAAATTTGTACAAATCTTGGAATCAAAATAGGAATAAATAGATAAAATTCAGCTCAAATTTGTTCGGTTTTTTGATAACTTCTGGTCTAATTGTTTGTAAAACCTGTGAGCTTCTTTAAGCGCTTCTGGAGTTTTTCGGTCAATGATGATCACGTGGTTATGCGGGTGCTTGGAAGCAGTAACAGGTTTCGGGTTATCCCATTGGGCAATTCCTCTCGCTATATCTCTTATGACCATTGGACCTTCAGGTGAACCAATTTTACAATAGACGGTACACATTATATAGAGTCATGAGCTTTCTCGTTTGCAACATGCGGAGCTTTTCAACGAGCCCTCAAAGAAAGCATTGTAACATACGAGATTTTTAAGAAGCCCTCAAAGAAAGCATTTTAACATACGAGTTTTTCAGCAAGCCCTCAAAAAAGGCATTATAACATAGGAGATTTTTAAGAAGCCCTCAAAAAAGGCATTATAACATACGGGATTTTTAAGAAGCCCTCAAAAAAGGCATTATAACATAGGAGATTTTTAAGAAGCCTGAAAAGTGTTGTAGCTTCCATATCCATTTTCTCTACCAGCAAATGAATCAATATTTTTGCGCGTAGTTCTGTGACCCGTTATTAAAAATTAAGGTTCGCTAGACTGAATTGACGCCGTAAAAGAGTACCAAAAGAGATCAACGATGTGTCTGTTTCGTTTACAGGAAAGAAAGGTTTCTAAAAAATCCAAATAGTAGAAAAAATTGGGTTATACATATTATGTTATACATATAATATTGTGTTGCTAGTGTCATAAATTGAGTTGCTTAAAGTTATTAGTTATTTTTGCTTAAGAATTTCGAAAAAGAGAGTATCTATGCTCCAAAAGCTTTTTGAATTTGTTTCAAACCCTTTGTTTTGGTTTATATTGGTGAATGACAAGAAAACAGATCTGAGCTAGAGACAGTGAATTTAATAGACAGTGCTAGCTTACTGCTTTATTTATAGGGTTGGCAAATGAGACAGTGAACTTAAAAAAGAGCAAAAATAACACAATGAAGTTTACGGCGGGTAATTGAACGAAAGAAGCGGGTAAACGAATATTTGTTTCACAATTTGGTTGCTCTCAAATCGAAGGTAAAAAAGAATAACTGCAATAATAAATAGTGATTCGTTATTCGGCTAATACGTTTTTTCCAATTGGTGGCCTTGTCCTTTCTTTTTTTTTCGGTTTACTTTCTCCAATAATTGCATATTAAATTCACTGTCTGGATCAGACCCGTCTCCAGGCCATTCAACCTTGGGTGACGATTTAATATTCGGCTAATTATTTTCTTTCATTTGATTGCCTTGCTTCTTCTTTATGTGCCTGACTGTTTCTCATAATTGCCCATCATAATAACTGTCTGCATCAGGCCCGTCTCTTTGTCTTTCAACCTCAATCTTTTTTAAAAAAAAAACATTTAAAATGTGTTTCTATAGCTTAAATTTTTTAAATTTTTCATTTCGCGTCTATTATATTCACTAGGTACTACTATTATGAGTCTATACGCCTCTGAGGGATCTACTTTACATTTATTAGCGGGGCTTAATTTATAGTGGATCTACCTAACAATCCTCCTATGGTTTCTACCAAAAAAATGCCACCCCTATGAATAAAAGCAGTAAACTAGCACTAGAGCCATCTATTTAAAAATCGAAGTTGCTGTATTCTGATTAGTCGAAAAATCAACTAAAATAATCAAATGAATAATTACCCCTTTCCAAGACGAAATAGTAGGTAGATTAAGTCAATTTTTTGACCAGTCAGAATGCAGCAAAATTCGAATTAAAAATAGAGTGCTCTAGAGCTAGTTTACTGCTTATATTTATAGGTAGTAACTCTTTAGTAGATACCATAGGTGGCATTGGTAAGTAGATCCACTACAAGTTATGCTACGCTTTTGTAGAACCGAATAAGGAGGCTCAATAAGATCTGTGCCTGCGTATACGCGCGTAAATACATGTGTCCCGACTATTGTAAAAAAAATGTGTCACATACCTTTGAAGTATGCGTGCATGCAGGAGCCCAACCACATGTCTTCCGGTCGCCATACGCAAGGAAGTGAGAAATTGAAGTTGACACTGTTCCCATAAAATCCTATGCAATGCTGCGCACAGTTTTGTACGAAGCTCTCAATGATAGAGCTGTCGAATATTTCCAATTGACCCATACAGTATTTGAAAGGTAGAGTTTTTCCACGTATAACGCTGATCGGAATCTGAGGCGTGGTTCAATCGTGTGATAGATGGATTTCGATTTTCATTGACGAGAATCAGAGACGCATTTGGACCTCTTCATTGTCCGAAGAGCCTTTTTTGGCTCAGTTCACGACAATTATTAATGGCCAATGAAACCTAAATTTTTGAAAACAGCTTTTCGATCCATTAAAAGTACGAAATTTGAGAGCGGCATCACTGTAATTTTTCGGGAAAACTCAAAAATTTCAAAATGGCACTTTTTTCTGATCAGAAAATTAATTGGTCTAAGGCCAAAATTCACGATTCTGTAAAAGAAACACGACTGTTCGCGTGAGGACGAAACCCTGGTTTTTATTGCTGTTTTTTGTGACTGAAGCGAAAATGATTTTTAAAAACAAATTATAGAATTTTTTTTATAAAACAATGAAAGCAAAACGATTTTATGTCAAAGTACAAAGTGATGCATTTTGCATCAATTAACGTAATATTCAGACCAATCAACTTGCCTCTATTTACTTTGAAATGATTTTCAGCTGAATTGTATCGCTGCCTAGGGTTTCTTAGAAACCTAAATAGACCGCACAATAATTATCCCAAATGTTCATTTTTCAAAACCTAATATCCTAATAGCTTTACAAAACGCACTTGCAAGACTAAAAATTATTAAATTTGAAGTTCGAGCATCGATAATTTTAATAGTACAAAAAGTTCTGCCAAAAAATCTATGGTTTGTTTCTGTAACACAACCCAAAGTGACCTTCTGTTGTTTTGGAAATTGGGTTATAATACTCAAAGATGAAAAGATGATTGTTTGAAAATACCTGCGGGAAAAAAATCAGCAGTTTTCGTAAAGTTTGATTAACAATTTGGTAGTTTTAGGCCGTATACGAGAATGAGCGAGTTTCGACACGTTTCAAAACATCAACAAGCAAAATTATGAGCTTTTTTTCTGAAGTTCTTTAGTTATTTTTGGGATCCATCTATCATAATATTGCCTCATGTCGCCGCAACTTCGTGTTTTTACGAGGTACGTCTATGAATCTGCAAAGCCCTGCCGTGTTCAAGGGCACGTGACTTTCGGCAAGTGGCTTGCGTGGGTTCGCAATTCTCCATTCCGGGTACTTTCGGCAATACAATTCTCAATATTTTGCTGTGGTTTACTTAGGCATTTAATTTATAATTCAAAACAATGAGACTTGAGAAATTTACTTCATGTTAGACAAACGAACTGTAGCTGATTTGGAGGGAGGGGAGGGCTCGTGGGGATTCGAATCCCATATATATATATATATATATATATATATATATATATATATATATATATATATATATATATATTTATGTTTATATATATCGAATATATAAAAATAAAGGGTTTAGGATTTTGAAATTTTCAGTCGTATCCGACGGTTTACTAATAAAGCAAAAGAAGTTAAATTTAAGCTAAGTGCTTCCCATGGACGGACTAAGCAAAAGTCTAAATAGTTTAAAAGCTCGATCATTAGCTCCAGGTTTGATTAATTGATTAATACAAATTGTTATCCGCACCGGAGTTCCATGGATTATAATCGATTATAATGGAAAAATGTTGTCATTATAATCCGTTATTGTGGCAAATTTAGACCACAAAATCGATTATATTGTCGTTATAATCGATTAATTTCGTGAAAACCCAATCCATTAAAATCCATTATTATGGATTACAATCCATTTAAAGTCCATTATAATAGATTATAATCCATTTAAAATCCATTATAATTGATTATAACGGATTACAATTTATACATTTTTTTGCAAAACTTGCAACAATTCTGCGTTACTCACGGCCTGCTCGCAATCTAAATCTAATCGAGTTAACCCCCTTCCCACTTTGCCCCCCCATCCGCGTTTGCCCAAACCCCTGCTCCCACTCCCCTACGTTTATCCCTACGCCCACCCCCATGTTTGCTAAAGTTTATCCCCAACCCCCCCCCCCCAAGTTACAGTCCCCTCCCCAGTTTCTTTACCATTCTTTACCTTGCGAAAGATACTACTTTGTTTGACAGGGCTGGTTAATAGGATCTGGTTGGAAGCTACTGATCCGTTCAAGGACGAGGGACTCTTTGGCGATGTTGAGCTTGGGTCAGTATCGCGTATTTTTTCTTTGGGCTGCTAGTTTCTGTTTTCTGGCGGAGTGTCGATATTCAAATGTTCACTACGATTTTTTCATCCGCCTTCCAGTTAAAAGCTCTCTTTGTTGTCCAAAATGATATTGCAATTCTGAAAGACTACGCTTTTCAAAAGTTTTTTTTGGTTTTCTTTGGATATTTTTTCAAAAAGGACACAGTTTCTTTTCAACTAAAATAGGTTCCGAAAATTCGAGAAGATTTCTGAAACCGAGCTGATGCAGGTAGATTTTGGTGGTTCTGACAACATTGTCTGTAATTTAAATTTTAACTGTTTGAACTCCGTTTTTAAGCAATTCGTTGGATCAAGGATTATCAACGGTACAGAACATTGATTTATATGCTGTGAATTGCAAAATGATTTGAATTTGTGACCAGTAAAACATGAAGCTTGACGAACCTTGATTGTTTTTGAATTTCTCTGGAAATGAAAACAATCGCTCAGAAAATCATCCACCGTTTTCGAACAATTCTATACAAAAACCAATTATCTAGAGGAGCCTGATTTGAATCCAATAAACCCGAAAAGTCCAAACCAATTTTCCAGTTTACAAAAGATAATCCCGGTAAATGGTAGGTTTGCTTTAAGATGATAAAATTTTCAATATTTTGTTTCCTTCGATGTATCTGAGCAGTTTTTCCATGAAAATAACTCATTTTTTGATATGTGGTTGCCACCCATGACCCAAAAAAATGTTTTTTATACCAAGCTCTCCCAGATTGGCTTTCGGAAGCTTTTTCAGGGTAGCTGTCTTAGGAATTTGAGGTACGAAAAATTACTCTAAATGTATAACAACCCATTGGAGGTTTGAAGAATTATTGAAAGTAGGTGCTGTCTTTATTGGTTTAAAGCTCTCGTTACTCGTACAGTTCCTTGACAAGCGGTTTTAAGATGTTATCTCCACCAGTCAGAACGGCAACAGTTTCGTTGTTGAAAAAACATTTAGTTTCTAGTGGACTACTGACAAATTTTTAGTTTCACAATATTACTGGTTACAGCAAATTGTTCTGGAGTCAAGTTTTCATCGGTGAAAATTACAGTTATGACGGAAAAAGCGATGGTAATTACAAGCCCATTAATTACAATTATACTATTTATAATTTGAAATTATATTGGAGATTTTGTTGAATTTGAATGTATTAGTGATAACATTTAAGATGTCAATTTTTAAATGAAAACAAGACTGCTCGTATCAGGGCGAAGCCCTGAATGTGCCGACTGCCTTTTAAAGTTTATGGGCATTAATAACATTAAAAAAATAAATGAAACAAAACAAAATGAAAAAATTTTTTTTTCTGAAATTTGAAATCTTTTATGAAAACTATCACCCCACACGCCATATAAAGTACAAAAGATAGATTTAGCTCCTGGTAACAACTCAATTTTGGCAAAAAAGCTTCTCTCAACCAATTTGGAACGATTTCTAAGACGGATTAAATCTCCGCGTAATTATATTGCGCGTTAATTGTCCCAAATTGGTCAAAATGGCCAAAATGGCAATCTTTAAACCATCATAACTTTACTAAAATTGATCACAGGTGAAATATCTTTCCATATTGGAGCTCAGAATAACAATACTTTTCGAATGACAAATTTTTTTTGTCAAAAATGGCTAGTTAACAAGTCGAAATTTGCCTGAAGAAAAAAAACCCACCCCGAGCACAAATATTCCGTTACTTTCGTATCGAAAGTCGTAACAATAAATGAATAGGTTATTTTCAAGCACTCAACGCTGAACATCTAGGGGTAAAAAGTACGAACAGTAACAGTTGAAGTCGCAAGTTTTAGGTTTCGAGCAAACTACTTATGAAACAGATGCTACGGTCTTCTCATTTAATATTCCGCCATTTGATTTGTGAATTTTTGAACAGTAAGAATTATGCGTGGAATTTCATTTGCTTTTTTATCCATTGGAGTTATAATTGATTTAGTCTTAAGAACTGTGGCTGGTACAAACTCATCATAATGTTTTTAGGAATGAATCAGTTCTCTGTAGAAGTTTCTGATATCAAATCTGTAGAATCAAAGTTTGTTTCGGTTTAGTGTTTAACAGTAAAGTTTCAAGGTGAAAACCATCTTGTTGAGCGAGTACAGCTCATTAGTTTTAATATTTCGTTTAATGAGGTTGTAAAAGTCAATTGTTCTTCAGTCACTTCCATGAATTTGTCAAATGCAAGCACTTCAATATCGGGGAAGCAACGGTTTTTTCTAGTGAAATGTTTTTCGCCAGAGTTTGCATTTGGGGTCATGCTGACAACTTCTTGATTCTTTTTTTTCAAAAGAGATTGTGTGTTCATTTGAACAATTATTTGTTGATTTCTTGTTTGCTGGTCATAAAGATTTTCCTAAGGATACCAAGTTAGGAGTCACTCAAAAGCGGGGTTCACTCACTAGGGGTCTTTTTTCGAGGATGAGTTATAGTATCTAATGCCGCCATAAAATCGATATGCCCTTGCTCATTATTTGGCGTAAATTGCCTACTTCCGGTCAAAGGGGATGCTTTTCCAAGTGCTAATAGCTTCCGGTCCAACCGCTGGATTGATTCAAATTATAATACAAGATGTATCTTGCCACTACCTATCAACCCTCCAGGTTTCAGCTCCCTGCGATCATCGGTGGCCGAGAAACGACTTCCGGAAGTTAGGGGTGGTTTTGTTTACTTTGGGCATAAAACCGAAGTGGGGGTCTTAGGGGTCTGGGTTTCCAAACTTAAGCTCCCCTTAACTAGGCCTACAACATACTAGAAATTGAGTCTATTCCAACCGCTAGTTACCGAGTTCTGACAGGGCCCATTACACTTCCGGAACCGTTATCACTTGCCCCGAGGGTCTGACGGGTTCCGATTTTTTTAATGCCCGGGTCAAATCATCTCTAGTGTCGCTCCTCTGAATTTCATAACATTAGCTTTCTTAGTTCCGATTTGGGGGGGGGGGGGGGGGGGGGGTTCGCCGAATTTGTCAAATTTTATTTTCTGGCATAGGAGGGACGATATTTTCGAAGGTTGAACTATTTCGAACTTTACCTTTTGTTTTCTCTACTACTTAACTTAATGACAAATCAATCTTGCGCTCAGGTTAATATTGCATGTAATACAGTAGAATCACCAATTCTACACTGATTGTATCTCTAATAATTGTGTTGTTTGTGTTGTCAGCACTAATTTAATTGTGCTGTCAGCATGTCCTTGACCATTGTCCCAGATTTCAACTCGAATATTATCTACAAATAACCGCACACCGTAGAATTTTGGGGTTTCTGCAATTCGACGTGGTACTGTTACGTAGCGTTACGCGCTTTGGTAACCATTTTGCCGCTGAATCCTTGCCAATTCTGTAGACTACAGGATATTTTTTTTACTTCGAAGGAGGGTTCGGTGAGCAACAGATTGAAAGCTTCCGATAATATTTACGTTCAGAGGTGGTACTGAAATGATGTTGATTGAATTACTTGTTGAATGTTCTGCTTGATTCCAATAAAAATATTCCTTTTTCAATTCAATTGAATTTTCCGGTGGTATGGTGTTACTATTCGAAATTTTAGTTTGGCGTCGTAAAAACTCTTTGTTCGTCTTTCTCTTCAGACCTCCCTGCATAGAAAACCTCGCATCATCTATTCCCAATGGACAAAGTCTGATACATTGATTGGCAAAAAAATTTCAGCTCAAAAACCTGCTGATTTTTTTTCCTTTCCAGTCCTAAGGTTGATCTCTGGTTTTTGTTTCAGTTGATTTATATACCGTCAATAATTTTCACGAAACTTGAATTCACGTTTAGTTGTACAAAAGAGTGATGACCTCTCTTGTTGTGTTCTCGGTGCCGATCGTTTTTGTTTTTGTCACTGTGACTAATTCAGAGAAAATGTTAAAAGTAGTAGTAATATAACTACTTCAAAAACTGTAAGTTTTTTTGACGAATCAATACAAATCACTATATCCGATTTTCAAAGGATTCTACAG